TATATACTACAAAAGAAAATCAGAAACTTGTATTACACACAGTGTACACAATATGTATTTGAGCTTGTTCTTTCCACAAAACTATCAAGGACAATTGATAATGGAATCCAAGGATTTGATTTATTGTGTTGGTTGGTCGGTTGGTTTACACCGCACTCAGCAATATTCCAGCTATATGGCGGCGGTTAGTGAATAATTGAGTCTGGACCGGACAATCCAGTGATTCATATCATGAACATAGATCCACACTATTGGGATCGATGACATGCATCAACCAAGTCAGCGAGCCTGACCAACCCAAGCCATTAGTTTCCTCTTAGGACAAACATAGTAGCCGTTTACAGTAAGCATGGGTTGTTGAAAGACCTATTCTACCCCGGATCTTCGCGGGTCGTAAGTGTTTTATTTATGGCAAGTAACAAAAGAGTGGGGGAATTTACCACTAAGAACAATATTTCAGTCATATCAGACCATGTCAGCTTGATGAGGAAGCCAGTAGTGATTGAGGTCTTGAGACTTTTACAACTTTGGTGAAACTTAGGGTACTAGCATGGCCACAGTGCTGACCCACCTAGAATCTAAATCAGGGCGAAACAGGATTCAAATCCACACTAAGGCCACTTTGCTCAGTGATTATCGCACCACAGATAACTGGGTCATCTGTGGCCTTGACAAACAAAACCTACAAGAGTACGAGGACTCCATAGTGGTGAAAATAGTGCTCACATGGCCCAATAAAAAAAGACATGCTCAAAAAAATTTTTTGTCTTACATATGTTCTTGTTTAACATGCCAACAGGCAGGAAGCACAATAAAGAAAATATAATGGTTGCGGAGTTGACAACAGATTAAATTCTTGAAATAACATTTTAACAAAAATGCACACTACTAGATGTAACATGTTAAAAAACATTTTCAATTTAAAAAAAAATGAACATAGTCTTGGCTGTAAAACAAGAAGGTTGAAGAGCCTGTCTTAAGAATGTCTTAAAATAACTGAAATTGTTTTGATGCAAGGAAAAAGACAGTATCAAGCTAATAATACAACTGTATGTATGAAAAACACACAGATTTACAGCAAAAATAACCCTGGAAACTTGGTATTATATATTTGGCTGAATATACGTTCTATTCAAGTGACTAATTTAAAGCTCAGACACACACAGGATGAAATGTTTTGACTTTGATGAAAATGAAACAACATACTATATTTGGCACAGAATTTGTTTGAAGCAAATATTGACAAATAAAATTATCTGGAGAATATATCAATTAACCAATACATAATTGCACATCAAAGTGAATTTTAGACTTAAACAAATTTTACTTGATACATATTGTTTTCTATATAAAAAAAATGAAAAAACATTTGAATCACTGTAAACATGGTGAAACATTTTAAAAGTTCAGTTTAATTTTAATGTTGTTTAAATACATTTAAATTTACATCACAGAGGCAAAGTTGATTTTAACATTAAAAACAGCAGATTTTGTGCAATAATAAAAGAATGTTCATATCAATTATAATTCACAAAATTTACTATTGAAACATCAAAATTCAATATGCTTTATATCTTCACAACTATAATAACTATCAAAATGATGTAATTTCAGAATTTTAATTCTTACTTTGAGACAATCATGACTGATTCCTCTTGTAAATGTCCCAGATGGTCAGAGCAAATATTAACAACTACATGTAATCATGGCAAAAAAGTTTGCAGCTAATCTGCCAGAGAGGTGTAAATCCATTTGATTGATAATCTTGTTGGGTTTATTTCCCTCTTTCACCACGTCCTGTCTGTTACAGTTTTCATACAACTTACGTGAAACTCTTACCTACGTGAGGGCTACAAGGATACTCCCCTTCCCTGGGCTGACAGTGTGGGGACAATCCTACTTATTGTGCAATGTGGAACTGGTGAAATGGATTCCATGGCATCTGATTTGTTAACCAAGCAATCTTTTTTATGCTTCAATTGAAAAACAAAAATTAGGCCATACCCAATATAACTACTGCTACCTGATTGGCAGAAAATAGAATTGGCGACGGTTGTGTTGCCTTATTGCGCTGAAGGATGTCACTGGTTTTGTACTGTTCTTTACAGTTTTTTTAGTGTTATTCATAAAATAAGCAGTCTGTGTTATTTTTTACATATTTATTCATAATAATTGACTTCCATATGTATTTGCGTTTGTGGAGTTAGAAAATGGTTGAGATTTACAGTTTGTGCACCAGTATTAATGTTTAAACCTCCATAAACTAAAAAAATGTTGAAATCAATTTTTAAATATTCTTTGTGTATAAACATCTGTTTATAGACTGTCACTGGACCAGATGAACAAACTTCTGTTACTGGAACAAGGTGAATATCTAAATCCTTGAAAGAAAACATGAAATTAAATATCTGACATAAAAATACAGTATCATGTTTCAGCTTATTGTTTATCCATATTATCAGTGATGACTATTATGTTAAATAATATATGTCACGGTTGCGGTATCATCTGAATCAAATACAGCACACCCAATCTCAGTGAGTGAGTTTGGTTTTAGTTTTATCATGGAGTGTGGGAGGAAAGCCTGAAGTGATGCAGGTCTCAGACGTTTACCACTTTGGTGAAACCCACGAGCATGGGTATGGTGCTGACAAATCTAGAAACATAATCAGGGTTAGAAAGTAACAGTTTTCGTCCACTAGTCCTTATAATGATAACATATAGCAAAACCCTTAAAAATGGCAAATTTCTAGTAGTCCTTATGATACCTTTATCATTGCCAAAAGATGTCAGTTGTCAGTTGTGAACATGCAGTGTTTGCAATTAGGGTGCGTTAGGTGATCCTTGCGGTTGTTCCCACAGTATTTTGAATCTGGAGACCCCCTTAACCTTCAGCTTTTAACATTAGGGAAATGACAAGGACCCCATCACTTTATGTTTAATTCAAACAATGACATGCATTCTTTAGCAAGGCTGCCAGAAAACACAGAACAAGTCTGTGATCGGTGTTATGTGTAGGGCTGACAGTGAGATAGTGGTCGGCTATTTAACCTGTTCCACGGCCATCTACAAATTTATCACTGTCAACAGCTAATGCATATCAAAGCGGACAAGGCAAGAACACTTTGAACAGTAATTCAGTTATGTTAGTGCTCTGGGCAAAGACTGTCGTAAGTCTATGTTAAAGTATGAGAGTTCTGATCACCTCAGCTCTATGATTGGAACGGACCGAAGATTGCCAGAGGGGCAGGGTTGTTGACCCCTATAAAAAAATGCCCCTCCATTTTTAAGCAAGATGTCAGTCCCCTGATCAAATATTAAATCGTAGCAAAACATGGGATCAATAACAAGATTGAATCTACTAGCATATTCCTTCAGACTAACATTCTGGAAAATCTATAAAATGAAAGCTGTAGGCTTCTACAACATTTCAAACATGGTAGAAAATATTTGTATGAGCTGCATAAGATATGGAAAATAAATAGCTGTCTTCTTCTGCAGCACAGCGGCAGTAGCACTTGGTGATCACAACGCTGGTGACGATGATGACACAGATTGGGAGCACTATGACAATATCATATCTTACAGATAATCTCGCTTCTCTACCTGTGTACGACATAATCAAGAAATCACTACCATTTTGTACAGACAATTGTACCTGTCTACATTACATAACAATCACTTTGAATTTGTACAGACAATCTCGTTTTCCTTTGTACAAAAATCACTATGAACCTGTGTATGACATAATAAAAGAATCCATTCTGTTTCTCTGGGTACAATCTTACCAAGCCATCACTATATTTTACAGAAAATTCTGTTTCCATGTGTACAAACATTACCAAGCCATTACTGTTATTCTACAGACAATCTGACTTCTCTACCTGTGCACAACTCTAAAAAATCATCAGCACTAAGCTAGCCAAGGACAGCTGATCTAACTAGTGAAAAGACCTGTCTCTACGCAGAGCTGCTGCAACATCCAGTCCCCCATGCAGCATTGAAATCTGTCCATATTAACTGACCAGTTTGATTGAGCGAGTAAGTTGGGTTTAACACCACTTTGAACAGTGTTCCAGTTATATCACACATGTCACCTTGATGTGGGAGAAAGCCATGAGCTCGCATATGGTGCTGACAAGCCTAGAAACTTAACTCGGAGCAAAGTGGGATTCGAACCCATGGCCATAGGTTTCTGGCGTGCCAAAGTCAATTGTAGCACCTCAGAGGACTGGGTCTACAGTTTGATTGATAATAGTGCACGCAGAACACTCAGAACAGCCCTGGATAAAATAGGCAGCATAGGTCCTTATAATCAGGGAGCATCCACAAACTTATCTTAGCACAACAACTGTCGTATGGCTATGAAAAAATATAGGAGTTACCATGGTTACAGAGGTCTTAATGCCAATAATGCTTTGTGGTGCAGGACCCTGTTCATTATGTCTGAAAATACATACTACTCAAAAAAAGATAAAGAACATCCAATTCTTTCACATTACTATAGTTACACTGTCATGGCAGGAGTAAAAAAACGCTACATCGTATATAGCCATCCTCTTACTTCCACCAGTATACGAGTGAGTGAGTGAGTATGGTTTTACGCCGCTTTTAGCAATATTCCAGCAATATCACGGCAGGGGGACACCAGAAATGGGCTTCACACATTGTACCCATGTCGGGAATCGAACCTGGCTCTTCCGCATCACCAGTATACGAATTATAACGTACTACAGATACTTCCTTGCTTCTGATATTTTAACAGTTGACTTGATTCTACCTGGAGTACAACACAGACCAGCTGCTCGTCCACATCTACAACTCTACAAATAAGCTACATCACATCATATTCTAGTAGCCCTGCAAAACCAGAACACCAGGTTACAGGTCATTTCGTATCCTGATATTTCCTGACCCAGTAGTTGCGTATTCATTGTGTCATTTTGCAACCAAGTTGTTTTGTAACAAGTTTGTTTAGTATAAGGCTTTTTTCAAGGACAGGAATTTCTGTTAGCACCTGACAATAAATGTCGACATGGATAGTTACAGTTTTAGTAGAATATACCAAGTGTTTCACTTCACAGTAACATAAGTCAGTGAGTGAATATTTTTTTATGTCGCTTTTAGCAATATTCCAGCAAAATCATGGTGGGGACACCAGAAATGGGCTTCACACATTGTTACCATGTGGGGAATCGAACCCAGGTCTTTGTCGTGGAAAGCATACGCTTTAACCTCTAGGCTACCCCACCACAAAGTAACATAAGCAGAAGTAGGAACAGTACCTATCATGCCAATGTGAAAGTAGATACTTTTTAATAATAACACATTTCAACATCTCCAATCTCAATAAATTCATGTAACGTTTTAATGCAACTATATCTGAAAAATTGTTAAGCACAAATATTTTTGATAATATATAAGTAATCCAGATAATGAAATAGCCGTAGAATAATGAACCAACCAGGATATGAAATGAAACCATACTTATGAAAGCAGAAAATACTGAAATATTTTCATCCAATTTCATTTAAAATTCACCAGACCAGGGTGCCGTTCCACAAAACAATCTTAGCGTTGCGACTATCATAGGCCTTGGTTAAAGTATAGGAGTTACAATCACCTTAGAGCTAAGATGGCTTTGAGGAATAGGGCCCAGGCCATAGAACCGATTAGAATTTGGCAGGGACCACATTGTTTGAAACAATATAGCATGTATATCAAAACAATGGAGTTTGACTTGACGGGTAAATACTGTAAATATTACTCTATTACCAATCTTCCATTCACGGTTATCTTTCTGTATGTACAGAATAGTGTTGACACAATTCGGGGTAGCACCTTGTGCTAATATTTGAGGGAAATGTTACCATGGTTACTTATATTCTAGACCATCTATGAAGTATCTGTTGAGCATATATATCAGAGATACAGGTCGGCATTCAGGAATGTATTCACTCTGCAAGAGGCCCCCCCCCTCTCAATATGAAAACTAGACACTGGGCAAGGACAAATGTATCTGTCTGTTCTCTCCGTGACAGAACTACAGCAAGATGTCAGTCATGTTTATTGTAGATCCTTGTCTATGTGTCTAGTATCTACACATGAGGATAAAGTTGATGATGACGATGATGACGACGATGATGATGATGATGATGAAGATGATGAATGCACAATACTTGTGACGCGTCGTCCTTAACTACACTCTCTACATCTTCCTAACATAGACTACCATCAGCACCATTAGGAAAAGATGACATTCTGTCTCTCCAGAAAACTCAGACATTGTTCACACATATATATGGCCTCCAGTAAAATGTTCCTGAAAAACACAGTCTGTTTTCGGCACATTGTGACATTTCTGTTCGGACTGTCATGCTACCTGACTTCCATTTCTCGCAACAGACAGGCTTTTTGTGTTTTGTAATGGCATCTGTGAAACAAAGGCGTGGGATGTGTTGATAGAGTGCCAAGTAAATGTTCATCACATGCTTGATTTAACCTGAAACGCCCATGTTGTAGGTGTTTCTGACATGCGGTACTTTCAACAAACGTTTCTTCACTTCCTTGGGTTACAGCTGTTATACGAGTTAGAACACATCTGCTAACATAGTAGTGATGACATGTTGCCGGACATTCAAGATGGTCCTGATGTTACACACTTCCTTGGGTTACAGCTGTTATACGAGTCAGAACACATGTGCTAACATAGTAGTGATGACATGTTGCCGGACATTCAAGATGGACCTGATGTTACACACTTCCTTGGTTACAGCTGGTGTCACGAGTCAGAACACATGTGCTAACATAGTAGTGATGACATGTTGCCGGACATTCAAGATGGACCTGATGTTACACACTTCCTTGGGTTACAGCTGGTGTCACGAGTCAGAACACATGTGCTGAATATCAATATTAAAGAAGCAGTCTTCATCTGAGATGAAATTTCTCTAGAAGCAGAATAATGGCAAGACGTCATTTGTAATGATTAAACAGCTTTCCCAGAAGTCACGATCTAAAGGAAGTTGAAGTCCTCTAGTCCCATTATTAATATTGGACTGCATTGGGACAGTGCCAAAGAGACATGTTAGCAGCATGCTTATTGGGTTACCACTACAAACACAGGCACTGGTGGCCAGTGCTAGGCACAGCTCTGTTGCATTAAGAAGTCATTCTTTGTGTTGTGCATACAAACATGCCGAGGTGGGATTTTGTGACGCTTCCTGTAACCACAGCAACCACTTTCTAAGACCTGAGAGTCAAGTACCTTGCATATTGTTATGTTATAGGATCACACATGGCCATAGACATGTACGACACAGCATGTTCCGTCCCATGTATTAGCTGGCAGTGTACATAATATTTATTTTCTTGTGGCTACTGATATTCTTGCTGTTGGAGTCTCAGTTATCATTCTGTAACCATAGTAACACCTTCCAATGCCTTCCAAGAGAATCTTGCTGATGTTTGAATCTCAGTGATGTTACCTGTCTGCAATATTTACTGTGACAATCTTCCTGACATTACTGGACAACCACCAATATTATTTGTCGCACGGTTAAATCATTGCTGTTGCTGGCATCTTCTTTCTGTTGCTAGGAGAAGATTTCCCAGTCTTTGTTTTTATTCTATGCTGTTACAGCTCAATGATTATCTTGCTGTTTTTATATTTCTATACTACGACAAAAATTAAGAATCATCTATTTTTATCATATGGAAAGAATTGAGTGATCCTTTACATTTTTTGAGAAGCATAATTTGCTGAAACACTTCATTTCATGCTGGAGTGACCTCAAACAACTCTAATGTCAAAGATAAAGGTTTCCACATCATTGGTGCCTTACACATTCAAGTCTAGTCTAGTTGAGAATAATTTTCCAGATATTTTGCCAGACTAGAGCTTGGACTAGACACCGACATAGATATACTTGATAAAGATGGTGACTTGTGGAAGGCTGCAGGATGGTCTAGCACAAGTATGCTATCAATCCACAGCTGATATATCATATGACACCAAACCGAGTAGGACAAGTGGCTGGGCAACCTCACGCCCCTGTAATGTCAAAGATGCAAGTTTCCGCCTACAAGAATGGTCTAGACCTAAAAGGATGGTCCAGCACAAGTACACCTGCATGATGAGGTCCCTCCGCATACGCAGTTCAACAGACACAGACCTAATGTACGATGAGACACCTCCACAGACACATTTCTCCAGGCACAAGACAGAATGTACGATGAGACCTCTCCACAGACACAAGACAGAATGTACGATGAGAGCCCTCCAGGCGATGCAGCATGCCTTGATTCGTGGACATATTCACTGATACTATAATTACTCCTCAAAATGTCAGTAACTCAGTACCTACTCCGATATCTGAATTCCAGTTTGCATTTGAGGCACAGCCCACCGTAAGCACTGACAAAACAGACCTAGAGTGTTCTTGCATGTCATAGGTGGTAAACAAAGTTCAGGTTGGCAGGTGCTGGAGGAATGGGCGGGGCTTCGGTTGGTATGGTGATGCCCTCGGTCTCCAGGAGGCGGATCTTAATCTCCATGCTCAGCAGTGTCTCCAGGTCTTGGTTTGTCTGGCTGCTCGTCATCTGCCAATCACACAAAAAATAGATCAGAATCCCCATCAAGGCAAGAATGCCACCCTTCCTACTCTACACACTTCCTACCCAACACTAGACACTTCCTACCCAACACTAGACACTTCCTACCCCACACTAGACACATCCTACCCCACACTACATACCTCCTACCCCACACTGCATATCTCCTGCCCCACACTATACACCTCCTACCCCACACTACATACCTCTAGCCCCATACTACACACATCCTGCCACTACAGACTTACTTAAATTAGGAATTTAACGTGCACTTTCCGACATATGTGTATTTCGCTAACGCCACTACAGACCTCCTGCCCCACACTACAGACCTCCTACCCCACACTACAGACCTCTTGCCCCACACTACAGACCTCCTACCCCACACTACACACCTCCTGCCCCACACTACATACCTCCTACCCCACACTACATACCTCTTGCCCCACACTACACACCTCCTGCCCCACACTACATACCTCCTACCCCACACTACATACCTCCTACCCACACTACATACCTCCTACCCCACACTACATACCTCCTGCCCCACACTACACACCTCCTGCCCCACACTACACACCTCCTACCCCACACTACATACCTCCTACCCCACACTACACACCTCCTGCCCCACACTACATACCTCCTACCCCACACTACATACCTCTTGCCCCACACTACAGACCTCCTACCCCACACTACATACCTCCTGCCCCAGACTACATCCCTCTAGCCCACACTACACACCTCCTACCCCACACTACACACCTCCTGCCCCACACTACAGACCTCCTGCCCCAGACTACACACCTCCTGCCCCACACTACAGACTTCCTACCCCACACTACAGACCTCCCGCCCCACACTACATACCCCCTACCCCACACTACATACCTCCTGCCCCACACTACAGACTTCCTACCCCACACTACAGACCTCCTGCCCCACACTACACACCTCCTGCCCCACACTACACACCTCCTGCCCCACACTACAGACCTCCTGCCCCAGACTACACACCTCCTGCCCCAGACTACATACCTCCTGCCCCACACTACATACCTCCTGCCCCAACAAGGCATGTATCCCATCTGTCCACATGTCAAACTCCTTCTCACAACTGGCTACCAACTGTAGAGGGTCAGTGGTGTCTGGCACAATAGCAAATGCAAAACTGCTTATCTGCAATAGAAAAAGAACAAATCTCACACATAAAATCTACAATTGGCACTGCAATTTTGTTACAATTACTTACAACCTTCAAATCATAACTCTTGCTACCTAGCCTTACAAACAATAACGAAAAACAGATGCATACATGATATACAATGTGACCAATTGAACGCTTTTCATCTTGGAAGTTGGTACCCTATTTACATTCTAACATTTCAAAATAACCCTTACATAATTTTTAATTAAACTCACCCCTTTTCTGTCCCTCTTGTCCTTGGGATTGGCAAATTCTTTGCCAGACTGCAACATCTTGATATCCACAATGGAGACTGAAACAATGCAATATCATAGGATGGAGGAAAATCTTAGCGCTACGACTATCTTAAGCCTATATTCAAGTATGGGAGTTACGATCATCTTAGCGCTACGACTGTTGAAAGCCTATGTAGATTCTTATACCATTATCAATGTGGAGTGATTTACTTCCTCAACTTCTAGAATGCCAATCAGATGATTAACCACAGATTTCATCTTATTCCTCCAACAACCTGACATCAGATTTATCACACCATCCTAATGAAGGAATAGCACTTTCTATCGATCACCACAGAGTTCATCACAAAGCAACATTTTTTAATACATGTTTAGGCAGAACTTAAAAGGAGTTGGCAAATGCCTTGTGGTATAAAGGGCTAGCTATTGTAAGGGCTAGATGTGTTGAAGGGGCTGTAGTCCTTATGACCAAAAATATCCATTGATGTACACTGCTCAGTCAGTGACTTACTCTTGTTAGGCAGTTGCTCTATGGGCAAAACTGCGTTGTCCTGGCAATCTCCATAATGAAGTGCTTTGTGATTTGGAGCTAAACGCCAGTACCAGAACCGATCTGAAACAGAGACATGTCATAAACATTGGGAAACAACATCTTTAAGGCCTATGGGGGATTTATCTAGGATTCAAAACTAAGTGCTTCTGGCAGGCAATCTGAGAAAAAAATAGTTCAAAGTTTGTTCTTTATTTTCTTAAATTCAGATGTATTTTAACATTGCAATTTGAGATTGCATTCAATGCAATAATATAAGAACTAAGCCCTAAAACCTCTTTATCTTTATTGGTCCTGTTATCATTGAAGTATAGGTTACCATGGTCACCTCTGCAATGGCATAAAATTAGACATTAGTTATTTAAATGAATTTATAGTTCCAAATAGGGAATTTTTAATGACATTTCCTGCATCCTAGGGGACGAATATTTGCGTCCGAGCAGGCCAATATAAATCCCTGCATATTATCAATCACAGTCGGTGATTATATGTTGGGGGAAAAGAGACAATCACCAGTGTTCAGAATGCAAAAAAAAATGTTTGATGGGGAGAAATGATTGACAAGTAAATCTTAATCACTCCCACCTTTCTTCTGGTTGGCCTTGGCATATTTTGTGAAAATGGCCCCCTCCACCATGTGGTTGTACCGCTGCTGCTTGATCAAGTCCATTATCTCAGGCTTAATAATCTCTCTCAACTCGCTGAAAAAGAAAACTTTGGTATGAGAATACCATTTTTTTATATAAGAAAATCCTATGTAAATATCCTTGTTACAAATCTGTTCACCTTTAGCGTGCTGAATTGTTTTCACGCTTCTTTCCCCTAACTGCTGGATTAATTTTAGCATAAGGCGCTGTAAAGAGGGTGGGTGGTTTCAAATGCTCAGTTCTTCATTAAACAAGGGACATTTTGAACCGATATATTGCTATTTTGTAGAATTTTCCTATTCGGAATATTCTATAAGTAATACGTTACCACTGTTATACCGAGGCTGTTGTCTCCCACAACTGCTGCTATAGCGAAATCTACCACAGAGATCTCAATTACCTCATGCAGCACGTGCGTAGCCACCTAGCTGCCATGTGACACCCTTCACTCTTGTCTCCTGCGAGAGCAAGTGCTCGGGGGACGGACGGGCGGGCAGCAGCCCAGTGGTAACGTATTACTTATAGAATATTCCGAATAGGAAAATTCTACAAATTACATTAAGTAATACGTTACCACTGTTATACCGAGGCTGACTACCACAGTAGGCGGTGGGGAGCACCTACAACCCGAATCCTGACTGCTAGCGTTCCTTCCGACCAGCGGAAGTAAACACCAAGGCGGAAGCACTCGATGCGCATGCACCTAGCTAGGCGTTACCCTATAGGAATACCAAAGCACTGTCAAGCGCATACCGTAAGGCTCAATCGTCATTGCCAAAACGATTGGTGACTCCAAACGGCCCCACTGGATAGGTATTTCATCGCCGCAGCGGATGAAAACACTGTATCCGCGTGAGCTTAATCTTAGATCAGGTTAAACAGTCGAAAAGAGGGAAATTAATTTCATTCAGACCGTATATCCCAGAGCAAGCCTACTTAAAGTATGCATTAGGCGCGTGACCTAATTCCAGTATTTGTAAGCATGCATCACAAGGTTGGGATACACGACAGACAATTAAAGACATAATTGTCAAAATACAATTAAGGACAAAGCACACAAAAAGCCGCCCTCACCTGTGGTGTGAGTGCGCTGGTTTGCGGGACCCCAACTCCTGTACCCACGGCAGTGGGAACATTGGAGTAGACCCAGATTGACCACCGTGCAAGGTCAGACGCCTGAGGAGTTCGGAATTGCGCTGGGCACACCCCTTAGGTGCCCGCTTGCGCCGCGATCCGCGGGCCAAGACGGTGCACACTCTCCACGACGGCATCAGCGACCTGTTTGAGGTAATGATTGGCAAAAACCGAGTCAGAACGCCAGTAACAACCTCGTAATATTCTGCGAACAGAGATATTCGAGTGTAGGGCAAATGTTGCCGCTAGCGCCCTGATCTCGTGCGGGTTTGACCCCGCTACCGGTAACCCCCGAGACCGGTACGCCAGATTGATGACAGAACGAAGCCACAACGCAATCGAGTTGCGAGGTATGGCAACCGTGCGATTAGGGTTACACGATATGAACAGACGGTCACGCCCTTGTCTACGTTCATTCGAAGCCTTAAGATAATACTTAAGGGCCCTAACCGGACACAGCGCTCTGTCCTCAGTATCAGCAGGATGTAAGATTTCTTTGAGTGATCTTACAGTGAATTCTCTCTCCGGGACAGGGACTGGTGATACAAACAACGGGAGTTGATTGTTGAACCGCGTTGCGAACAGGTCGACCATCGGACGACCCAAACGTTCGCACAGCCACTGAAACACTACTGGGTTCAGCATCCACTCTGTGGGGCTCGGATCCTGAGGCCTCGATAGAGCATCGGCCAGTACGTTCCGCACACCTGGGATGTGACGGGCGCGTATCTGGCACGGGACACTGTCCTCCAGAGCGTAAAACTCGAACGTGAGATCGAGTAGCGAGTGACTGTGGGTTCCCCCCAGTTTGTTCACATAGGACACTACCGTCGTGTTGTCGGTCGCCAGCATGAGCCGGGCGTCGACGAGACGATGCTTCCAGTGATTGACTGCGTTGATCACTGCCTTGAACTCGAGACAAGTGATGTGAAGACCTAGTTCGTCTAAGCACCACAGCCCCGAGCTCACCTCCCCCTTTAGATGGGCGCCCCAGCCCACTAGAGAGGCGTCTGTATACAGGGTCAACGTGGCCCGGTAGGGCCGCATAGAGACTCCTGATAAGACAATGTAAGGGACCGTCCACCACTCCAGATGCGGTCGGAGCCGATCCGGGAGGGCGACGGTCGCACTGTTCACCTCCGTTGCTAACAACTGGATTAAAAAACCGTTGCAGCGGGCGGAGTTGGAGACGACCCCGTGCGGTGCAGTCCTGGGCTGATACAAGTAGCCCTAACAGCTGTTCCCAAAAGTGAACAGTCTGTTGCACCACTAAGACTTTGGCAATCATCGCCTGAATTTTGTGCCACCGGTCTGGGGGGACAAAGAGGCGATGGGACACCGTGTTGAACCGACCTCCGATGAACAGCAAGTTCTGAGAAGGGGTTAACTCGCTCTTGGGGAGATTGATAATCCACCCAAATTGCTCCAAGAGCCGACGTGCGAAATCGAGATGGCGTGACAGGGTGTCCGTCATTCGATTTGCTACTAGCGAGTCGTCCAGGTACGCGAAGTACCGGACACCCCTCCTGTGGAGGAACCCCACTATGGGGGTGGTTAACCGGGTGAACAGCCAGGGAGCGGACGTGTGAATCATTCTGAGTTCGGCACTGTCCTACTTGGGAACGAGAAATATCCTGGAGTAAAACCCCGGTGTTATTTCTGGTAGAGCTAACTCCCGTACTGCCCCTTCTCCACCAACCTGCCGATGGCATCGGCGAGGATGGGAAGATCGGTTTCCGAATCGAAACCTGCCAACGGGGCAACGGTGAGCGGCGGATTCGCTTTGAGATCAAGCCGATAGCCGTACCGAATCCAGTTGACCACCAACGGGTCGTCGAACACTTGTTCCCAATTCTCCCAGTAAGTCTGGAGTCTGGCTCCCACTGGGGAAGGAGAGGGGGCCCTGACAGGTTGCGACAGGCGCAACTGTCCAGGGCCAAGTGACTCGGGTTCGCCTAAGGGCCAACCGAAGTTGGCGCTGTCGGCATACGAACCCCTCCAATGAGAGTCACCTGGAGGGGCCCTTGCCGTCCGTCGACGACTTGGGCTTCCCCCAGTTCCCCGTCTTCCCGCGAAAGGGCAGCTGATTGCCCATACCGGAGCCCTCAGGGCGGGGCTACTTCCCAGAGGAAGAAGAACCCGACCCCTTAGACCTACAGGCCGCAGCAGCCTGGGGCGCGCTCCGGTTAGGAGCGGCACCCAGGCGCCTATGCAGGGACCCAACAAGAGCAAGTGTGTGCCGAGAGTCCTCGGCAACGTACTCCAGGGAAGCATTTAAACTGAGCAGGCAGTTGTAAATGCGCTGGTCACGGTCCGTGGGAGAACCTTCGACCAGACGGGCCGCTGCAGCCAAGTAAGTGTCTCCGTGAGACATGGAGTGCCGAGCGAGGGCGTCCAGCTGGTGCAAGGTAGCTTGCGTTACCGTAGCAGCCGGTGGGGCACGGACACCCAACCGCTCAACATGGGCCTCCGCGGTAGGACCAGCCTCGGGAAAGGCAAGGTCATGTACCGGGAATAAACCCTTTCTCCACGACGTCGGAGGCAACGGGAGACCCCGACCGGAGGCCGCCGCGAAGGCGTTCACCAAGGAAGGCTTGAAACCGCGCAGCAAGGTTGATGCGGGGAAAGCCGTGTCGGAAGACTCATCGTATACCTCGGAGGAACCCACAATCGTGGATTCCCCGCGGTACCGGCCGGGGCATGTCCTCAAAGAGGTCATAAACCATGGCCACGCGGTCCTAAACCGATAGCGGGAGCAACGGTTCGGGGGAAGGACCGGTGACCACGGGAGCCGCCGCCGTACCGGTGGACCCCGCGTCCGACCCCGCGGCCACCGAAGTGGCCGGGGACGGAACAGCCAGCGGCCTATCCTGAGATAAGGCCGCCAGCTTGGAGTCCACAAGTTATGCAAGTAATGCAGCGACGGAATCCCCGGACAGCACACGGGCCGCCAAGAGATCCGCCGCTTTACCGGTGGACCCCGCGTCCGACCCCGAAGAGGCCGGGGACGGAACAGCCAGCGGCCTATCTTGCGATAAGGCCGCCAGCTTGGAATCCACAAGTTTCGACAACAATGCGGCGACGGAATCCCCAGACAGCCCGAGGGCCGCAAGGGGATCCGCCGCAGCCGAGGAGGTGGTACCCGCACGGGGACCCCGACCGGACGAACCGGCCACCACAGGGGTGGAGACGGACTGTACGTACAGCCGGTACCGCTCAAAATCCGCAGGCCCCAGACCTTCGCACAGGATGCACCGGGTGTCCCCGCAAGGAACCCTGCACCGCGGGCAACGATCGTGGGGATCCCGGGACGACAAAAACTTTCTGCACACCCCATAACTCCGAGGAGCAGGGGTAGAGGGGGTGGATACTGGGGACATATCCATGTCAGACATTGATTGTTTGCTATAAACAAAGAACAAAACATGGTTACAACGCACGCACCACAATGATTCACAAACGAACATTTTCACAAGAAAATAAACGAGCAATGTGAACATATAACATACACATATAACTTTTATTAAAGAAATAAGTTATGTTAACCCCCAAAACATACAAGAACAGGGGAAACGTAAAACACAACGTGCATACGCGAACCCCGCAAGTATATAGAAAAAAGGGCGGGAAAAATTTTCCGTTTGGCGGGAAAATTATAACCAAGCGTAGCTACCGCAACGCCCCATAAAAGCACAGTTTATTAGAGAATAAACTATAATAAATATCACCAAATCTTCAAGGAACGCTTCAGCAGGAGAAAACACGTCTTGCTAAGCAGACGAAGGAGACAAGAGTGAAGGGTGTCACATGGCAGCTAGGTGGCTACGCACTTGCTGCATGAGGTAATTGAGATCTCTGTGGTAGATTTCGCTATAGCAGCAGTTGTGGGAGACAACAGCCTCGGTATAACAGTGGTAACGTATTACTTAATGTAATTTAATATCAACAAAGTTTAGATTCATAAATATGCCTTGGCGAAAGTTGACGATCATCGAATCAAATAATATTCCATTTGTCAGAGAAAAAAACGAAAACACAGATCGTGAATTCTGATAGCAATATTTCAGTAAGTGCAAAGGTCACCGGATGTGATGTCACAGACAACACCCCTTTTCGGTTTAAGAGAAACTGACACGCCTTTAGGTTCCAAGACCCCTTTTCGATCCAAGACCCCTTTTCGGTCTTAGGGAAACTGACACTACTTTACAATCCAACACCCCTTTTCGATCCTTAGGGTTAGCCTGCTTAGGGCAAATGTTAGCCATAAATTCTTACGTTTTCAAAGCTTTAATCCTGGTAATACGATAAGAGTAATCACGAGAGTGGTTCGTCACGTTGAAACAAACAAAGGCGGGTGTGGCTTCAAGAAAAGATGAATGGGAGGGCGGAGCGTGATGTCACACGTATGTGCAATTCATTGTTTACTGAACTGCGCATGTATGTAAGGGGGTGCTAATGACCCGTTAAACGAGCACTGATTACATGTGATAGTGCAAAGACTCTCTTGACCTTCGGGGAGCCTTGGGGACCTTCCAGGAGAAGATCTTCTTGGGGATGAATGGTGTTTTTTTTACAATTCTCAACGTAGATATTCCTTTTGAAGGTATAAATTTATGAGAGATACATACATATTGCCGAGATGTACGTTTCTACCCACAGTAATGGTTTCAATAACGTGGGAATGCTACAAATATACTGACATTATCTATACGTTTCAATTCACACTGACATTTAACACTGATGGAACCCAATACAGACATACAGACGAGATGTACACGTTCAACTCACAGGATGGGTTTTGACACAGAGGGAACCCAATACTGACATACAGACGAGATGTACACGTTCAACTCACAGGATGGGTTTTGACACAGAGGGAACCCAATACAGACATACAGACGAGATGTACACGTTCAACTCACAGGATGGGTTTTGACACTGGGGGAACCCAATACAGACATACAGACGAGATGTACACGTTCAACTCACAGGATGGGTTTTGACACAGAGGGAACCCAATACAGACATACAGACGAGATGTACACGTTCAACTCACAGGATGGGTTTAGACACTGGGGGAACCCAATACAGACATACAGACGAGATGTACACTTTCAACTCACAGGATGGGTTTAGACACTGGGGGAACCCAATACAGACATACAGACGAGATGTACACGTTCAACTCACAGGATGGGTTTTGACACAGAGGGAACCCAATACAGACATACAGACGAGATGTACACGTTCAACTCACAGGATGGGTTTTGACACAGAGGGAACCCAATACAGACATACAGACGAGATGTACACGTTCAACTCACAGGATGGGTTTTGACACAGAGGGAACCCAATACAGACATACAGACGAGATGTACACGTTCAACTCACAGGATGGGTTTTGACACTGGGGGAACCCAATACAGACATACAGACGAGATGTACACGTTCAACTCACAGGATGGGTTTTGACACTGGGGGAACCTAATACAGACATACAGACATACAGACGAGATGTACACGTTCAACTCACAGGATGGGTTTTGACACAGAGGGAACGCAATACAGACATACAGACGAGATGTACACGTTCAACTCACAGGATGGGTTTTGACACAGAGGGAACGCAATACAGACATACAGACAAGATGTACATGTTCAACTCACAGGATCGGTTTTGCCTGGGACTCCCACTCCTCTTTACTCTGCCTCTCTAGTTCCCAGATCTTGATGATCTCAGAGTAAGTCAGCTGATTTAGACGGGTACGAAGGGAATCAAAATTGGATGGGTGGATCTCCAAGGCTCGTGTTATCTGCTCTTTAACAACACCCAGCACCTGTGGAATAAGAAAGATCAGTTTCAGTTGGATGTGTTGGCTGTTTGATGCCTCAGTATTCCTGTAAAATTATGGTGGCTTGTAAACAATTGACTTTGGACCAGACAAACCAGTAATTGAGCAAACTTCCATGTCATCGGATACAATGACATGCAATCCTGGGGAGGTAGTCTAATATGAAATACCCATTAGGCGCTAGTCTAGGCTTTGGTATTGGTTTGGTTTGGTTTTTAACGCCGCACTCAGCAATATTCCAGCTATATGATGGCGGTCTGTAAATAATCAAGTCTGGACCAGACAATCCAGTGATTGACAACATGAGCATCGATCCACCCAATTGGGACAGATGACATGCATCAACCAAGTCACTGAGCCTGACCACCCAATCCCGTTAGTCGCCTTTTACGACAAGCATAGTCGCCTTTTACGGCAAGCATGGGTTGCTGAAGACCTATTCTACCCCGGATCTTCCCGGGCCGAGCTTGTCTAGGGAAGATTAGTGTTGAGTCTTGAGTCTTGATGTTCAAACCTTCTGGAAATCATCCGATGTGGCCTTCATCTCCCGCCATGTTTTATTCAGCAGTTGTATACACACACAGTAGAACTCTTCAAATGGCTTGTCATGACAGAAAAACATGGGGTAAAATGTCTGACCTTCTTCTGTCGCTGGAAGGTAAAAAGATATTGATAATATATATTGTGTTGCTTTAGGACAAAAGTATTTTCAAATTCATTGAAGCCTTTCTGTAACACTGAAATATAAGTACACCTTTCTTTGTCAAAGTTCAAAGCTTTTTCGGGACACATTGTCGTTGGTAGGTTTTGCTTTATCCAGCCAGAATTCACAAAACAGAAATCTAGCATCTTTGCTTTTCAAGAACTGAATATAATCATTTATTAATAAATTACTGAACAAATGACTTCACACATGTTACTGAAGCATAATCAACAAGAAACTTACGCTGTTCGCCAATTTTGAGAATGTCACATAGTATTTCTGTAAGCATGATGCTGGCCCTTACAAATGGACAATCATGCTCATCTGCACGACTTGAGTTCTCAAGCACGACCTGGGGCAAAAAGAGGACATGGTCAAAGGGAGATAACTCTAAATAGGCAGTTTATCAATCATATATTTACATCAAGTTGTGGTGCTTTAGTGGAAGTTTCATCACAAATTGCTTACTGACGTTACCAAGAACTTGTTTTGTTGAATATAAAAAAGTATGTTGTAAAAAGCTAGAGATGAGCTAGAAAAATATTGTCATTGCATGGTAGCTCACCAAGCGATCTTAGCACTAAGGTGATCGTAACTCCCATACTGTAACATGGACTTCAGTCAGTCGTAGCTCTACGATTGTTCTGAGGAATGGGACCTAAATACGTAGACAACAGTTTGAGATGTCATCTCGAAAACCACAGAACAGCTGTTAGAAACGATGTTCAAATATTTTTCAGAATATATACTGAGGACTAAGAACAAACAATAGTTGCAGTAGTAAGAGGTGTTTCTTTACAGAAATAATAATAGCTGCACCCCTAATAGTATTGCAGTGGTAAGAGGAGTACCTTACAGAAATAATAATAGTTGCACCCCTAATAGTATTGCAGTGGTGGAGGACTACCTTAAAGAAATAACAATAGTTGCACCCCTAACAGTATTGCAGTGGTGGAGGACTACCTTAAAGAAATAATAATAGTTGCACCCCTAACAGTATTGCAGTGGTGGAGGACTACCTTAAAGAAATAACAATAGTTGCACCCCTAACAGTATTGCAGTGGTGGAGGACTACCTTAAAGAAATAACAATAGTTGCAACCCTAATAGTATTGCAATGGTGAAGAAGTACCTTCAAGAAATAACAATAGTTGCACCCCTAATAGTATTGCAGTGGTAGAGGACTACCTTTACAGAAATAACAAAAGTTGCACCCCTAATAGTATTGCAGCCTGGACATATGATGGTTTTGTAGTGCTAGTCCACAGAGATGACATGCTGCAGTTTAACATGAATACCCCACAGTGTACCGACACGAGGCCACCAGTCCTTGTTTCAGCCCATTAGTGCCAAACGCCAGGTAGGGTAACAAACAAATATCATCAATTAACACCTGTTGAAATGCAGCCGCCACCAGGGGATCGACACACCTACCTTCCTCTCTCTGGATGTGTTCGAGAGTTATGGTAAAAAGGCCCATATAACCAATGGGCTGTTGTAATGGACACCCACATAATTCTCCAACAAGATGTATTTTGGATAGAAAGGAATGATCCTGTACTCACTAGAGGTGCTGATTATCATTTTTTTGTCATTTCATAAGGTCTAACAAAAATTTTAACTGTAAAGAGTGGCAGAGTCCTATATAATGTCATATATTGCTAATGAAAATGCATATTACTATTTTGTGAAATTGGAGTCATATGGCTGACCTTGACATAGTTTTCTCCATGGTTCCGGGCAAAGTACAGCATCACATCGAGTGCGAGAAGCCCAGGGGGTGTCTTGGTGAAATCTTCCACAGGCGTGCTCTGATTCTGTCAAGCAATACAACAACAGAAGCATGTTACCATGGTTACAGTGTTCAATATAATTTGGATTTAAAAAAAAATGTAACTAAATTTTAACAGCGTTTAAAAAAACACATCATTATGATAATCAGTAGAATTTCTGACTTTTGGTATGAAACTAGTCCCTATGGATTTTCACTCGTCTGGATTAACGGACCAGTGGCCTTGTCAAACCCTGTTATTTCTCCATAATACAGGAAGAGAAAAGTGAACATGGTGAAAAGTGTCACAAGCCCTGGGTCCACTTGCATTAAACTATTGTAGCAGTACCAGCACTAGCATTCCCAATATTCCAGCTATATGACAGCGGTCTGTTAGTATTTGTTTGTGTGTTGTTTAACGCTGCACTCAGCAATATTCCAGCTATATGACGGCGGTCTGTTAATATTCAAGTCTGGACCAGACAATCCAGTCACTGACATCATCGATCCATGCAATTGGGATACGATGACATGCATCAACGAAGTCAGCGAGCCTGACCACCCGATCCTGTTAGTCGCCTCTTACGATAAGCATAGTCGCCTTTTACAGAAAGCATGGGTTGCTAAAGACCTATTCTACCCCAGATCTTCACGGGTCTAATGGACTTTCACCCTGTGCCCTCAAAACAACCAACTCATCTGTTGGTAGAAGACCAGATGGTGGAAATATCTATACTTTCAAACATTGGAAACACAAGTGTCAAACGTGTGGTGTCACCCTGGAAGTTCAAATTTGCCTTTCTTAACCCAGCTGGGAATGGCTACCAATATTTTGGTTGGTTGGTTTTTTGTTAACTCCGCACTCAGCAATATTCAAGCTATATGATGGCGGTCTGTTAATAATCAAGTCTGGACCAGACCATCCAGTGATTGATATCATGAGCATCAATCCATCCAATTGGGATCGATGACATGCATCAACCAAGTCAGCGAGCCTGACCATCCGCTCCCGTTAGTCGCCTTTTACAACAAGCATATTCACCTCTTACGGCAAGCATGGGTTGCTGAAGACCTGTTCTACCCCGGAATCTTCACAGGTCGCTACCAATATGTGATGTGGATGTACAAACCTTCTGGTCTGAAGACAGCATGGGTAGTATACTCCCCATGAAGCAATCAGCTAATTATACAAAGGCAAATGTTTGAAACAAAAGCCATCATATCTATATTTATTATTATTGATGTCATTATTCTTATTCTTATTCTTACAAAGAATCCCAGCTTCCTGTAGTCCTTGGCTGAGCTTGGTGATTTCCTGACTGTGTTAATGTTTGGGTCACCATCCACATCAAATGCAATTCTCCGCAGTTCTTCAATATCCCGCAGCACAGTCTGTGAAACACACAAGGTATCAGTGGTATGAAAGAGAGACATAACTATGAAAATATGAAGTCAGTTAAGTGAGGTGAGGTCAAATTGGGCTTATCTCGTTCAACATTATTGTTTGTTGGTTTATTTGTTGTTTAAGGCTGCACTCAGCATGCTCAGCAATATTCCATCTATATGACGGCTGTCTGTAAATAATCGAGCCTTGACCAGACAATCCAGTCATAGACATCATACGCATCGATCCACGCAGTTGGGATACGATGACATACATCAACCATGTCAGCGAGCCTGACCACCTGACCCCATTAGTCGCATCTTATGGCAAGCATGGGTTGCTGAAGATCTACTCTACCCTGGATCTTCACGGGCTTTCTACATTATTGTCTTCAACATTATTGGTCTTCAACATTACTGGTCTTCAACATTATTGTGTCATGAATGCACATGTGGGTGTGGGTGTGGCAAGTTTTATAGCGCTAGCTCACTGAGATACCATGCCGCAGTTTAACATGCAGATGCTGTATCTACTTGACCACAGAGGTGGTCATCAGCTGAGTACTTCATAACATTAGAAAGTCTATTGACTATGAAAGCTTTCCATGCAGAGCAAGTTAGGATTCCATTTTCATGAAACTTGATCTGAAATCTTGATTGGTACAGGGTGTATATTCTATTTATAATGTCACAGTTCTATGTTTACAAATAAAAAAAATGATAAATTTGAACCTTATCATTCAATATGGGGGTTGGGGTGTCATGAAAAAATGTTACATGTATTGCTAAGGGGGCGGGGTTGGCATGAACACAATTAAACAATGAAGGTAGGGAGGGTCAGGCAGCAATACCAATCCCACCATCTTCTCCCCTTTCCCAGGTTGATTGTACACAACTTATTTGCTTACACACCAGTTTGAACAGGGATGATCTAGCCTGCTAGCCTGAGTCAGTTTGTATCATACAACAATTAACAGTTTGTTCATGTAGAATTTCAGGCTTTTTAGGGGTGTCATATGATGTCACTTTTGGGGCTAGTAAATGCTTCAGGTAAGTCCATCGGCTCACCTGGTCATGTGAATTTGCAGGTGTCTTCTTGCGATCTTCGTGCAGATTGAGCAGAAGAACCTGCAGGACATACAGTTGATGCGCCATCTCAGTCCCCACCTGCTGCATTCCTCGTATCACATGCTGCAAGGAACACAAAGACTTTCAAAAATTTAATTAAGGTTAGGGTTAGATTAAATGGGTGAATAGGTATCACTTGCATGTGAGAGAGACAAAAACATGAATGTCAGTTAAGTGAGGTGAGGTGAAATGAAGTTTAATGTCATGTTCTGGATTGTTGCACTTATATAGTAACGTGCATACACACCTTATGTGGTTGCGACTGCTTGTACTAGTCCGGACTAAAGCCAGTTTTAAAGTGCTGGCCCAGTGAGATATCGTGCCGCTGTTTAACATGAATACCCCACTCAGACACAGCATACAGACTTCTTGTTTTAGCCCCTTAATGCCGAGCGCCAGGTAGGGTAACAACAAGTACCATCTTTTGATGTCTTTTGGTATGACACGGCCAGGGATCAAACCCCAGACCTTCCACTGTACCACCAGACCACGTAAGTGGTCTATCCCAACAGCGTTTGTAAATAAAATAGAGCAGAGTTTCCATTTCCAATTTCTGTTTGTTTGTCGCTTAACACCGCACTCAGCAATGTTCCAGCTCTATGACGGCAGTCTGTAAATAATCACGTCTGGACCAGACGATCTAGTGATTGACATCATGAACATAAGATCCTAGCAATTGGGATACGATGACATGCATCAAACAAGTCAGCGAGCCTGACCACCCGATCACATTAGTCGCTTCTTACGACAAGCATAGTCATCTTTTACGACAAGCATGGGTTGCTGAAGACCTATTCTACCCTGGATCTTCACAGGTCTTTCAATTTCTGACATTAAAGGTAAATATCAATGAATTAATTAAAAGTAATGGTCCATACATGTCTATCTTATTAGAACTATAATCAACTAACAACTGCGTTGTCAACTATTGTGACAACAGTTCTGGCTAGTAAATGTAATCTTTCTCCCTTTGCTTCAGACAATGACAACGAGAAGCTCAGTAAGATACCTACGCTCAGGATCATATTTCTCATGCTCTTGGAATGTAATTGGTCTGCTATTTTCTGAAAAAGAAAATATAAAACATTTATTAGATAACACCATGTACTTATCAACATGGTAAGTCTCCACATATGGGTAATTTTGAGTGGTGGGCTGGTATTCATTAAACATATTTGGTGACTGGCGTTATTAACATTGCAACATTGTGTGTATGTTCATAATATTTATCTGTTTTGATTAATGTGATAGTTTGTCGTTATACTAATGTTGATAACATATGTTTTAGTTAAGGAATATAATTACAAGAAAAGACTGTGCATTTTTTCGGTTCATAAAGGCATGAATTGAAAAACTATTGTAAGAATACGCTACGCGTCACTTTCTGAGCATCAGACCGTATCATTTCATGGTTTTACTGTAGGCAGAATATGCACATTGGGAAGACACCAACATGACACAGATCTTGGTGAGTAGCCCTTTTTAAATCTAGCACTCAATTACATTGTTTATTTGTGAGCTTTGTTGTTTATATCACTGTTTCTGCCCATGTACAGTGAACATGACCTGATAATATACTCCCAAATGTCCACAAAAAAGTGTCAACTTATTAATTCAAGCAAGGGGCACTCACATTTTTCATATTAATTTCACGATTTACAGTAGGTGTTTGTTGAGATTAGGTAGGTAATCTGCAAGTTGCTACACTTGTTTATCCCTTACCCTCCGTTTGTCGGGATCAGCTTTCATGAAAAGTGCATTGATTAAAGCTATGGCGTTCTTTTGAACCTCTGGGTAAGCTTGGCTGGAAAACGTCTGAGTGGTCACTGCCGTTGATCCCCGGCGTCCAAGAGCATTTTCTTGTGTTCGTGGAAGACCACTGTCTTGTGTTGTATAACGACTGAAACATATAAGCACATAGTGAGTGAGTTGGGTTTAACGTCGCTTTTAACAGTATTCCAGTTATATCACAGTGTGTCAGCTTGATGTGGGAGGAAAGCCAGAAGTGATGCAGGCCTCAGACGTTTACCACTTCGGTGAAACCCACGAGCACGGGTATGGTGCTGACTAACCTAGAAACATAATCGGGGTGAACCGGGATTCGAACCCCCAATCATAGGTTTCTGGCGTGCCCAAGGGACGCAACTCTGCACAGCGAAACGCGGCGCCTTAGACGACTGGGCCACCCGTGCCCCCTATAAGCACATAGGAATATATCACCTCAACCTTCAAATATTGTATACCATATGCTGTTTCGATTAGCCTGCAGCCACTGCTTACAACATATAAAATATGTCTTGAACTTAACGTTGGCATGTTAATGGGATGTAATGTTGATATCTAAAAGAAATCCTTCTTTTTTCTTAAACAATATTCACACACAAAAAGTAAAATATATTGAACAAGAAAACAGCGTCATCATTATCCCTCGCCATGGGGAACATTAGAATTTTGTTTGTACATATAGTTGTGAATATGAACTATAAACAAGAGTTATATAAAGCCTTAAGAAGAGATAGGGACTTGGGCCGCTTTATGTCATTAGAAAAAAGATAAAATGTGAAATTATTACACACAACAGGCCTTTCTCTGGAAAATATAACACAGTCTTGATAAGTATCTCCTAGATAAGCTAACTTTGGTAGTTTCTGAAAACTTGTCCCCATTGCAGACACTATGCACTAAGTAAAATAATTTGGATCAAGGACCACAACTCTCTAAAAAACATAAATGACGGGACCAATGTTTGTGACAAGTATCTCTTACATAAGCATGCACACTTTCATTCATGTAATGTCAGTAGTTGCAGAGAAAACTTGTCCCAATTTTACACACAATGCACTAAGTTGAAAAGCATGGAGCAAGGGCAATAACTCTTGGGGCGAACCAGGATTCAAACCCACAATCATAGGTTTCTGGCGTGCCCAAGGGACGCAACTCTGCACAGCGAATCGTGGCGCCTTAGACGACTGGGCCACCCGTGCCCCCGATTGACATTATGAGCACTGATTCACGCCATTGGAGTACGATGACCACCCAGCCTGTTAGTCGCCTCCTATGATAAGCATGGGTTGCTGAAGACCCATTCTAAACCGGATCTTCACGGGTCAGAAAAAGTATGTTGCAGATGAGATAAATAAACTAAAAGCAATGCAAAAGAAAGCACTGAGTTACTGACCTCTGTAAGTGAGGAATGATGTTGACAGGGGTCACCACCTGCTCCACCACAGCCTGCTTACCCGTGCTGAAACAGTTGCCAAGACAACACTGGTCACATGACTAACACGATCACATGACAGGAAGTTAGTGCAATCAACCCGGATAGGGTCAATATTATGAATACTGATTCTCTTACAAGTCATGTCATGGTTACTGGTCAAATCCTTGAGAATTTGCTAAACCAAAACACAAAAGCATTGACCTGCTGATCATACTGACATTAACAAATTCTTATTTATTAGTTATTTTGACCAGACTAAATAATTGTTTGTAAAATTGTCTAGCGAACTCCTATTTGCAAAACAAAAACAAACCTAAATTGTTCCTGAATCTAAATGGGCTTTTTGAACAGCAAAGGTCTCAATTGAAACATTTATTTTAAAAAACTGACATTTACTTTTTTATATACATAAAGGTATACAGACAAAGAAAATTTGTAAAATATGAAAATACAAAGCCTGACCTCATCACATATTAGCAGTTAATTAAGCTTAAACCTTTATCATCATTCACGCTGTATTATGTACACCTACAAGGACTGATAACACACATCAATCTTTCAAATGGTGTTGTTGCTATGGTAACTAGACTGACCTGTGAAGAACGACAGATTCCAGGATCTCGAGCGCTGACTGCAGACATTGCTTGTCTAGGGTAGCTGTGCTGGAACAGTTGACACATTCCGCTACCTGGACAGCAAATTATTGTGTTAACTTAAACATATATCCCAGCTCTTTGCTACAATGACAGATTTATGTAGGATTCCAAACTAAGTTCCTGTGGCAGGCAAATCAGGAAAAATATTTATTTTGTTAAAATTGAGAGTTCTTGGTTTAACATTGCATTCAATGCAATAATGTTAAACTAAGCATTAAATCCTCTTCCTCTATCTAGTTTCTGTTATCAGTGAAATACAGGTCATTTCTACAAAGCCATAACATAAGTTATAACAGTATGAACAAGGAAATATTTAATTTTAGTTTGGGAATTTTAACTGATATTTGCTGCTGACTTGGGTCTGAATATCATCCTCTGAGCAGGTTTTGATAAATCCCTGAAAACAACACTTCATTGTCACACGATCTGCTGAAAATGCCATCAGATCCATCATGATCATGGTGGGCAAAATAAGACTGTTTACCAGACAATGCTCTGTAATATCAATCAAGAATTTCAAAATTGAGGTGGTCTAACTGGCTAGTTGAAAAGATAATAAAAATGTCAGTCTCTGAGATATACTGCTGACACAGCATGGGTAAACACCATATGATGTATACAGAGTTCCCACTCGCTTTTGAAACTACCAGACCTAGTGGACTGGCAACTCTAAAAAGTACCAGTCCCCCCGAATTTATGTCAGTCACAACTTTCAACAAATAAAAAATGTATGAAATATACCTGATTTTAATTCTGTCAACATCATGTTCAATGCAATGATGTCATCTTTGAAGTAACTTAGTTAGATTTACACATCATTCAGACATTCATCAAAGTACAGTTACAATTGTCTCTTTTTTTAAATATTTCGCGACTAAGTCGCTACAAATATATATTCATCCTTGAAGCAAAGCGAAATGTTATATCCTTGAACTAAAATTAGACAAGGGGAAACCCTGATGGTAACAGACAAGCTGACTTTGTTTTGAAAAATATACTTGTATAAATATTGCTAATGTTTTGTTCAACAACAAATATTTATTATGTACTTTACTTGCTGGTCCACAGGGACTGGCAGTCACATGAATTACCAGTCCAAGGCTAATTTTACCGGTAAAAAACTGGTTATTACCGGTAAACGGGAACACTGGTATAGCCTATCTGCACTCATCATTCTCATGTGCCAAACATTGTGACGAGTTTGTGACATCCCACAGCATAAATTCCTGTTATTTCTGTGTAGAATGAATAGTGATAAACATGACAAATACCTTTTAGGACTTCATTGAAAATTGAATTGATAAGAACTTGTATGACTGAGTGAGTGTGTTGGGGTTTATTCCGCTTCTACAATATTCCAGTTGTATCACAGTGTGTCAACTTAAATTCGGAGGAAAGCCCGAAGTGATGCAGGCCTCAGACGTTTACCACTTCGGTGAAACCCATAAGCACGGTTATGGTGCTGACAAACCTAGAAACATAATCGGGGCGAACCGGGATTCGAACCAATGATCATAGATTTCTGGTGTGCCCAAGGGACACAATTCTGCACAGCGAATTGTGGCACCTAAGACAACTGGGTCACCAATGCCCGCAATGTTATCTACACAATACAACTTAGTGCTACAGCACTGGTAGAGCATTTCTTTCTTATTAATCTTAATCATTGTTAATTATCACATTGCACTGGCATGTACCCACTTCATGTAAGTTTATGCCATTATGAAATTAATGACCACATTAACAATGGTAATCACATTAATATATCAATATTATGAGTAGAATATTGATTTTTATAACCTATGTTTTGATATCAGTACAATAAAACTGCTGTAAAGATAACTATTTCTGCTACACGGTGTACACTGAAATAACATCGAAAGATATTGGATTTCCTGGTTAACTGACAAACGTTTGGCATAAGTGTATCAAATAGGGCCGCAACGAGTACAAATTTACTACCAAGGTACCTGACCCCCTATTACCATGATTACCTGACCTATCTTGATACCCACTGTAGGTATCAAGAGATGGGAACAAAATGTCTGATTGGGAATTGTTTTACTGCACCCTTGGCAAAAACTAGTTAGATACATGTATCAAACGATTGGATTATGTGTACAGTGAAGTTGACTGAGGCTTTATCTTTACTCAAACATATTCAAGTCAAAGGAATGTGTGCAGAGACAGAAAGAACTGTGAACATAAACGACTTGTAGTGTAACCACTGAGCTATAGTGAGTTTTTGTCATTAAACAATATATCATGTGACTAACCACGGGTCTGGGTAGTCTTGTGTACCTGGGTCCTACTCAGGACCCACCTGAACCGTGTAACACATCCCAGTCCTCGTATCAAGATATGTATCTGATCAGGCAGATTGTATCAAGATATGCATCCTATCACGGGAGAGTGTATCAAGATATGTATCCTGTCACGACAGAGTGTATCAAGATATGTATCCTATCATGGCAGAGTGTATCAAGATATGTATCCTAACATTGCAGAGTGTATCACGATATGTATCCTATCACGACAGTGTGTATCAAGATATGTATCCTATCATGACAGAGTGTATCAACATATGTATCCTATCATGACAGAGTGTATCAAGATATGTATCCTATCACAACAGAGTATATCAAGATATGTATCCTATCACGTCAGTGTGTATCAAGATATGTATCCTATCAGGCAGTGTGTATCAAGATATGTATCCTATCACGACAGAAATGTATCAAGATATGTATCCTATCAAGGCAGGGTGTGTCAAGATGTATATCCCATCATGGCAGAGTGTATCAAGATATGTATCCTATCACGGCAGAGTGTATCAAGATATATATCCTATCACGACAGAGTGTATCAAGATATATATCCTATCACGACAGAGTGTATCAAGATATGTATCCTATCACAACAGAGTGTATCAAGATATGTATCCTATCACGGCAGAGTGTATCAAGATATATATCCTATCACGACAGAGTGTATCAAGATATGTATCCTATCATGGAACAGTGTATCAAGATATGTATCCTATCACGACAGAAATGTATCAAGATATGTATCCTATCAGGCAGTGTATCAAGATATGTATCCTATCACGGCAGAGTGTATCAAGATGTGTATCCTATCATGGCAACGTGTATCAAGATATGTATCCTATCACGGCAGTGTATAAAGATATATATCCTATCACAACAGAGTGTATCAAGATATATATCCTATCACGACAGAGTGTATCAAGATATATATCCTATCACAACAGAGAGTCAAGGACAGCTCTATCCAACATCAATATTTCTACCTTTCGAATGAAATCCGATTCCAAAACATCCCAAGATACAATAGCATGATCCATGAGCGACACAAAGGACTTGAGCGTGTAGGCGAGAGGGTCTCCATTGCTGCAAATAATAGATGTTACCCATGAAGTGATATCATCATGGCCACAGTGCAGGTGAATTATCGCAAATGAAATCATAATTGCTGATTTACTGATAAAGATGATAATAAGACTATTTATTTTGATAGGTGAAAATACAATATACATCTACCATGTTTAAAAAGTTTTACCTTGATGCATAATTAAATAAAGATGTGGTCAGATCACTATTCCGTTTGCAGTAGAAGAATATTAACAATTATCACAATATATACTACTCATAAGAAGTTAAGGGCCACATGATTCTTTCTTTATATTATAGTAACTCTATCACTGTCATGCTATAAGACAATATCTATCATGACTTTTGTAAAAATTAAAGAATTGGGTGGTCCTTAACTTCTTTTGAGTAGTATATTACCAAATTCTTAATAATCACTTATCATGCTTACTGGCACACCAACCAATACAGGCATTATAAGCATGTAAAACACATTATCAACTGATCAAATTCTTTGCTATCAACATGATCAAAGAGTTAATATTTCTTATAACAACATATAAAGTATGGAAATCTCACACATGTCACGCTTTTTATTGTCTTGTACGTGTTGTTTTCAAGATATTGACATAAATGGAACAGTCTCATTGCTCATAGTATGAATGATTTCAAAGAACACTTACAAATTCCCTGATGTGACAAATTTTATGACCAAGGGTAGACCATTCCTGTTGATGAACTCAATCGCAAATGAAATGTCAGAGGAGAAGATTGAGAGATCACGAAGCGCTGATATTTTATCCTGCTGGGAAGCATTGTCATTCAGTTGACTATAAATGTTTTGAGCCTTTTTTCCTGGAGAGGATGTCAGAGTGAGAACATTTCCGTTTGAAATTTCATTCCGATTTTGATCTGTGATGTAGCTGTGACGATTCTGCTCGGAGAATTGCAGCGCAAAATTTTCTTGGTCAGAAAGCTTCCACCTGAAAGAGAAATAAGGAAATTGAGATGTGCACTCAACATTAATGCTTGTTTGTTGTTTATCGCCACACTCAGCAATATTCCAGCTTTTTGGCGGCGGTCTGTAAATAATCAAGTCTGGACCAGATGATCCAGTGATTAACATCATGAGCATCGATCTATGCAATTTGGATGCGACATGCATCAACCAAGTCAGTGAGCCTGACCACCTGATCCCATTAGTCGCTTCTTACGGCAAGCATGGGCTCAACATTAATGAGTGAGCTTAAGACCACTCTGAACAGTCTGAACAGTTCTTCAGTTATATCACGTAGTGTTTGACTGTCATCTTGATGTGGGAGGAAAGCCCAAAGTGATGAAAGTCTTAGATATTTACCACTTTGGTCAAACCATTGAGCATGTGTATCATGTGTATTGTGCTGGCAACATAATCAGAGCGAACTTGGAATTCGAACACAAAATCACAGGTTTCTGGCAACACTTAAAGGATGCAACTCTGCACATAGAAATGGAACGCTTTAGTTGACTGGCCCACCCGTGGCCCCTTCAATGTTATCATAAACAATGGTTGTACAGTATTGCAATATATGGAGATTCAGGTATCTAGTATGGCGATACAGGTAAGACATTACTACAAATTTACTTACTGTGTACATATATCCTGAATTATACCAGCTAAAGGACGTTTCTGAAAATAAGGAAGTTTTGTTGTGTTAATCAAACATGCAGTATGGGAAATATATGGACAAACTAAGCAATATTGGAATGCACAACATCATAAATTCAGCACTTTCTGTTCATGAAAGTAAATATACAGAGCTCGAATTAAGCTGCTAATTTGCGTAAAATACTCATTAAATAAATTGAAATATGCAGACAATCAAATATGCAACAAAAACTATAAATTTGCTGTTGAAACAAAATTAATGAGTGTACTATAATTATTAGATAAAATGATTGCGTATGTTACAACTGTTAGATAAAATGATTGTGTATCAGTCGATCACCAAGTTCACATACCGACAGTTACATTCGGAAAGCTTGTGCAACAAACATACTGGTAGATGCCAATTAAAACACACATCCTGCCTAGTCAATGTACATGTTGTTTCTTAAACAGTTGCAGATTGGTGATTAAAGAAATAGCACTTTTCTTACAATGCTAGGTATTGCAAACAAAAATGGCTTCCAGGAGAGGGAGCCGCTAGCATACGCAGACGGGTATAATACTCTTCACAGTTTTAAATGATTTACAGGTTTTTTTACGAAACAGGTTTTTAAGTTAAAATACTCAAATTTCAAGAAAAAGGCGGGTAAAAAATTTGAATATCCTCTAAAAATTGTGGACACCCAATCAAAATCAAACCCCTGGGTAACATACCTAAGAAAAAAAAAAAAAGCTTATCTAGAGCTCTGAATATAACACATGTACATCTTATTTTCATGATAATGCGCTCTCTAGGCTCAATGTCAAGTTCTGACTGTATCCACTACTCCTAACAATAATGCATAAACATATTTTTGGGGTCTAGATTTACGAAATCTTGGTTTGTGAAATAAGTCAATATTTTAACACCTGAATCTTTGGAAAACGGTAAAATATTTAAACTTGAAAACAATGCTTATTTTTCCAAGTCCAAATTAATTGTGTTAATACAACTATATGCATTGATCATATCAATCATGTTAATTCAAATTGGCCACATCTTCAAAAGGAAACATCAGATGATCAATATTATCAACGATATTATTTCTACTGATGCTTTTCAGAACCAGTATGTGGCTACTTCATATTCAGCTTGTTCAGTGTGGACAGTGCCACTATACCATGTCTACACCATGCACACATGTAGTTGACAGACATGACAACCATAACCCATGATAACCCTCATTTTCAGTTAATTTTAATGTCATCACATGGCATTTCTTAGCTGATCTAACAGGACCAACAGAATGTTACTAGACTCAGGCTTCGGACAAGTGGCTAAAGTCACAGAACGATGTTGAAGGAACAACAGGAAATCTTACCCTCTTTGGACATATGATACACCAAGAATTAGTATGGTGAATCAGTTAACAGAAACATGTTGCTCATATTGTTCATAAAGATGACTTTCTTGAGTTCTCATACAGGTTTGTGACAGAGATCAGATCATAATCATTACCATGATTACTATGAACCACTGACGAATATCGACAATCATGATTATAAAAAAATACAAACAGACATCAGTTAATTCTTGACTTAACAAAATGTTTCCACTCTAAACTTCATTTGTGTGAACTGATTGGTTCATAAATGTCTACTAAAGGAAGTTGTGGCATGGCTTAGTAAGCAGGTGATTATTTTGCAATATATTTGAAATATAATCAAGCAAACAGCGCTGACACATGTCAAATTCAAACCAAATCAAACTGTATCATGAGAAACTGGTTCTAACACTGATGACATATGTACAAATCCATATCATGATAATACACAAAACTCAACACAAATGTCATTAAAACCAATTTGAAAACACTTGCACTTTCCGAAACACTTTATCAATACACACAAATGATTACCCAAATTGTGGTTTAAAAAAGCGCGACACTTTCACCAACAAACCAAGTTTCGCAATAATTGGTAACTTATCGACTTAGTACTAGTAGTGTCAGGCGTAAAAAAACCATCATAAAAATGTAAAAACATGACAAGTCGTTTGACGTCTGCGCCAAAATGTCAATGATGGCAAAAGTGACAGATCGTGAACATGGAATGAGACGATTGATGGGATGGAAGACCATTAAATGTTTACCTGGTCAAGTTCAAGGAACAATGCCTGTTGCCCCTGCATTGTAACAGCCACCTTTTTTATATTCTCCAAGTGACTTTTGGAGGTTCGGGCAGGGGGCAGAGTTTTAGTTCCTGGTTGGTCCGACATTGTCGCTGGGTTCGCTTGCTAATTCCGCTCTCCTTGTGACAATTCGTCAATATTTGCACCTTAAGTGCTAATATTCCACTGCTTAAGTTATTTTGAACGGCGAATAAAATGGAATTCTATCCGGATTTCACACACAGGAGTTCAAAATGGTGAATTTTCGGCATGTTTAGGCGATATGTGTCACCACCAGACTCCATTAGCCAAGCCTCTTCCGGGAAGTGGTTCTAAAAACGACCGCAAGGTGGCGTCGGTCATAGAGGTCGCATTCGCTCTAACAGACAGGTGCGTGTTGAGTTGAATCAAGATTTGCATCGTTTGATTCATATATCAAATATACAACCAGGATGTCATCCCTCTGAATGCACCCGTAGCCTTACTGCCATAACTCACATTGCCTTTCGGTTTCAGAACACAACAAACAAATTACGTTGGACCTATGCCATGTGATAACAGTTATGTTATCGGTGTCTAATGTAGCCAACTGCTTTATGGTCGAGTGGAAGCAAATATTCTTGGTCAAATACTACTCCATATACTGTTTATGTTCCCAGATAAAATAAGCCACTATACACATTGTTCATGTTTTGACACCAACATGTTGATGATATTTAATGAATATCCATGTGGACGTGAGGAAATGTGAGAGATGAGTTTCTGTTTATGCCATAGCTAGGTTAGGATTATAAATACTTATGTGGCATGATATGAAAGACAATGTCTAATACAGCTCTGTAGAAAATAATTAAAAATGATTGGCTGTTTGGGTTGTCAGCACAGGTAACTACAGAAATTACTGCTGGTATCTTCTGTAGACACAATTTGAATATGTACCCCTGGTACCTTCTGTATAAATAATTGCACTCTAGGTAGGCAATATGATTGTTTGTTTGTTTGTTGTTTAACGCAGCACTCAGCAATATTCGAGCTATATGACGGCGGTCTATAAATAATCGAGTCTGGACCGGACAATCCAGTGATTGACAACATGAGCATCGATCCATGCAATTGGGATCGATGTGATGCATCAACCAAGTCAGCGAGTCTGACCACCTGATCCCGTTAGTCACCTCTTACAGCAAACATAGTCGCCTTTTACAGCAAGCATGGGTTGCTGAAGACCTATTCTACCCCAGATCTTCACGGGCTGTTGGCAATATGAACAGCATTATAGAAAGGACGAGTCTATTTTGACAGTGTATGGAAGCAGTTTTAGTTAGGCTGTCACATACATTCATTCCTGTGTGTCATAAACTCTGTAGCATGTGCATTATACAGAGCTCCAGATAACTTTTTGAGCAATTGAGTTTTTACTCTAGGGTTTCTATTTTAATTGGGTTATTCCATTTTTCATTAGGTAACCAATATTTTTTCACAAATCTATTCATCACCCTATTGGGTATTTCGCCAAAAGAGTGAACATTTTAAGATTTAAAAAAAAATGAAATAATGTTTTAGATGCACATAACCATGATAACTGTTCTGAATATATAGGTTTGACTCAGATAGTAAATTAGCTCGTAATTGTGTTTCGGAAATTAGCTCCTTTGTATGCATGCTGAAAAAGCTTCATTTGGTATTTATGCATGCTTTTGGTTTGGGTACATTATATCATTGTTTGTTTTGATACCTGTGCTGGCAACTACCCCAACGCCTAAGTCTGGCCTCCAATTTGTTTCTGATTTGACTTACACATATTCATTTATTCAATGGTCAATTATATTTTCTTACAGGTTGTCTTCACCCTCAGTGGACTAGGGTTGACTCAGGCTTTTTCTACTTAAGGTTAATGATTGATAAAGGTCTGATTTATATGTTTTTACCCTGGTTTAATTGTCGCTAGTTTTTTTGTTAGTTTATTCTCTCATTGACAGGTGAGGCTGGCAGACGATGATTCTGCTCAGAGCCCTCTGCTGTGTGAGGGCATGCAGCCCTCGGGTTCAGACATACAGACTTTTCTCTGGTCTTCAGGTAGCCATTTTATTTGTTTATCCCTGTAGGGATGCCTGAAATATAAAGGGATTCCAGGGTAGAATAGGTCCCTGTACCATGCTTGTCAAAACCGCTGACTAATGAGTAAGTTGGGTTTTAATGCCGCTTTTAACATTAATCCAGTTGTATCAAGGCGTGTCAGCTTATTGTGTGAGGAAAGCCCGAAGTGATGCAGGTCTCAGGCCTTTACCTCTTTGGTGAAACCCACAAGCATGAGTAAGGTGCTCACAAACCTAGAAACATAATCAGTGCGAACTGTGATTCGAACCCACAATCATAGGTTTCTGGCGTGCCCAAGGGACGCAACTCTGCACAGCAAATCATGGTGCCTTAGACAACTGGGCCACCCCTGCCCCCCTCTGTCTAATGGGACCATGTGATTACAATGTGTGAGTGAATGGCTCATCAACTGCCATCTGGTATTGCCTGTGATGTAGCTAAATGATGCTATATGTAATGCCCTCATTTGTTTTATATTTTTCATATTTTTTCTTGAGATACAGGGGGGTTCCAGTGACCCGGTCGTCTAATGTGCCGCAAATTGCTTGCAGAGTTGGGTACGCCAGAAACCTATGATCGTGGGTTCGAATTCCGGTTCGCCCTGATTATATTTCTTGGTTTGTCATTGGTTTTACCAAAGTGGTCAACATCTGAGACTATGCATCACTTGGGGCTTTCCTCCCACATTAAGCTGACATGCCAAAATATAACTGGAATACCATTCAAACCGGCATAAAACCCCAACTCACTCACTACATTATTTGAAATGTCATCATGTACTGAAATCTTGTGTGACATCATGAAAACAACATGATCTCATGTCTTAATAATTTCATAAACTTCTGACCCATGAAGATCCGGGGTAGAATAGGTCTTCAGCAAACCCAGGCTTGCTGTAAAATAGAAACCCTAGAGTAAAAACTCAATTGCTCAAAAAGTTATCTGGAGCTCTGTATAATGCACATGCTACAGAGTTTACGACACACAGGAATGAATGTACGTGACAGCCTAACTAAAACTGCTTCCATACACTGTCAAAATAGACTCGTCCTTTCTATAATGCTGTTCATATTGCCAACAGCCCGTGAAGATCCGGAGTACAATAGGTCTTCAGCAACCCATGCTTGCTGTAAAAGGCGACTATGCTTGTCCTAAGAGGTGACTAACGGGATCGGGTGGTCAGGCTTGCTGACTTGGTTGATGCATGTCATCGATCCCAATTGCGCGGATAGATGCTCATGATGTAAATCACTGGATTGTCTGGTCCAGCCTCGATTATTTACAGACTGCTGTCATATAGCTGGAATATTGCTGAGTGCGGTGTTAAACAACAAACCAACCAACCAACCAATCATCAACTTCCAGGACTGGCTAAAATTAATATTACCAGCACATTATTGGAAATTTTAGGTTATTTAACCCCATTTAATTATTATAGTTAATATTAGTTATTTAATCACACAATCTCAATAAAATCAGACCTTTTACTCAAATATGATATCTCACTGTATGAGCATCTGAGGACACCGCCGTGGCTGCATTGGTGATCGCATCAGGTGAACTTTCTGATCAGCCAATTAGGGCTTCTAAATTGTCGGTACGAGTGAGGGAAGCATTTCGATGCGTGGATCACTTCTCATGCTGTCAGTTCTTGGTATGCCAGGCCCTATATCTTGAAGCTCGCTGTGAAATGGCTTAAAAATTGCTGAATAACTCACTGTTATTATGCGTCTTTGCAAGCTTTGAAAAAACTGATAGCGATTCCTTGCTCTTGTTACAGACTAGAAGTGACACAACAGCAAATAGACTGTGGAAGCCGAGTGTTAACAAAGTATTTGTGAGATGGAAGCTCCTGACATCTAAAAAATCGCGGGCATTTCGCCCACTATATGGCAAGGACAAAGTCAGTGAAGAGCTTCAGTTGATTTACGAAAACAACATGAACAAAATCGTATTCTGGAGCCAGTTGTTCATCTACACAATGACAATTCCAACGGTTATCGGAGCTGTGGCGATTATTGCGAGTAATTCCTCAGACATCCCATCCAATCTGTCAGCTTCTCACCCGGCTGCAACAGCAATGGGCTATTTCGTGTTTGGGAGCACACTCATATTGTTCATAAACGCTGTTAGCAGAAGAAGTATTAGAAGAATCTATTTAGAACCGTTCACAGATCGATATGTAGCCATTGTACAAAACTGGTTGATGATACCAAGCAGGCTACACTTTCAGTTGAAGGATACACAGCCAAGGAAACCAACCTACCTCACAGCAATGGGTGGGAATATTGCCATTAAGAAACGACCATTCTTTGTGGTCGGAACTGATTTTAAGCTTCCTGTGTACTACAATCAGATTATGGCGTATGACCTTGAGAAACCATTAGAAAAGGCGAGTGATTTTGATGTGTTGGAAGTAGCCAAGCAAAACCGTAAAAGGAAAGAGAAGTCCCAGTCATAGAGATGATGGAAAATAGTGTGCTTGTTCTCATTGATTAAAGACTTTTATGAAGGAGAAACAAGTGTTTGTCATGAGTGGTGAATGTCTGGAAGTCACCTTGGGAATAGTTCCCTGTGTTCCTTGGTTATAGTTGAGGGGTCATCGGGAATCAGGGGAGGGTCACCCAAAAATAGTTAACTTATTTGGGGAGGGTCATGAAAAATTGGCATTTTATTATAAAATAGTTTGGTTTTTTTTATTTTGCCTTTTCAAGGAGGGTCATGAAAAATGTACAAGGACCAAACCTCTGACCCACCCCCCTGTAATAAATGACTGATATCCTAATGAGGGTCAGGTGGTTACAATGTATGTCATCGATAGTTGCTCATTGTATCGACCACTGAATATTTACAGGCAGCTGTGATATAGCTAGATTATTGCTAATTAGTACACAGTCGTTCTCTTGAGTCGAAACTTGTCCAGGTTGGTTCATGATTCATCTGATCTCTCCTCAGACAATGGATACTGGACTAGTCTTGGTCTGATTGTGAGTGAGTGAATGGACCCCGCTTTGAACAGTATTTCAGCTTTCTCATGGCATCTGCTTGATGTGAAAGCCA